TAACAAAAATTTATCTCGTTCATGAAACCTTAAATTTTTGAACCACTATTTCACATAGAAATTTCAAGCTGTCAGATAAGAGTTTAAAAGATTTGTCATTAATTCAAAATGATTCCATTTCTAGAAGCTCATCTAAGTGCAGGAGGTGCCTTACCTGTTTTGTATTATTATTTTTTTTATAATTTGTCTTTCATAAGAGATGAAACAATCAGATTTTGATAAATATATTATAGGTATTGAATATTCGATAACCGACAGCCATGATGACAAGCCCCCAGTAGGTCGCTCCAGTGTAAAATTCACTGAAATCCTGTTGACTTTAAAATCAGCCACCGGCTGACAAGAGCAAGCGCTAGAAATTCTTCAATGTAGAATTAGCTTTTCTACAAAGCTACTGTCACTGTTACCAAATATCATATTTATAATTATGTAAATTACTTTTAATATCTACTCCTCTATTTTCTTTATATTTCTCCTTCTTTGACATATAAATTTTATTTTTTTTTTTTTTTTTCAAATTATTAGTTTTCATTAGTGCGATTTCGCTATTATCATCACTTACTTATTGATTTATTACCCTATCCATTACTTATTATGTGTCAAATTCCTCAACATAATCGCTGTTGTTATTACTATCTATACAATCCCTGTAGTAAAATGTCAAAGTGGTCTCATAAAGTACTAGTTTAGAACTATTTCAAACCTGAAATTTCATTAGTCGCAAAACGCCAAACCAACGAAAATATTTTAATTATAAATGTTTTATGCAACTTAACTCATTCTTAGTCAAAAAAATAAAAATAAAAATTAATTTATTAGCAAAAATTTTTTTAAGAAAATCATTTTTGAATTAATGTTGGTATTTATTTAATGAATCCGTTTGATTTGAGCTTTAGCTATTTCGAAATAACAAACAAATTTGTATATATTTTAAAAATTATGTTCAGAAAACAAGTAAACAATGCCTTAGCCAATGGCGTATTTTAGGAGAATGCAACTAAATTTTCTATGTATCTTAAATATATAAAAACATATGTTTTTTTTTTTTAAATAAAGAAAATCGTTATTTTGACCCAAAACGCAACTAACTACTTTTTGATCCACTTAGTACTAGTAAAAATTTATGATCGAAGTGTGACAATAGTAATAGCGCAAAACATTTTCACTTACTTGTATGGGAAAAAATAATTCTAAATGTACTAGATGGCTGATTAGTTGGAATCCCTCATGCATATATGTATGTATATTGGCGGAATTCAGGCAACTTTTCTATGTATTTTAGCCATTTTTTAATTTAGTAATTTAAACAAAAACAACTAATTTGGTTTTAGATATGAACTTGTGACTATTTGGGCCGTTTTTAACTAGTATACAACTACTTATTTAATGATGTAAATCTGACAATTGTCATCTAGAAAAGCAACATACTAGTTTGTTTAATACAAAAAAAATGTCTCTCTGAAATTTACTAGTTGGCTGACTAGTTACAGTAGTAGTTCGACATCAATTCTTGACTTTTCATTTTACCTACCTGGAGAAAGTAATAACCAACTCGTACTTACATACATACATATACATATAAATTAACATTATTAAGTTTGTGCTCTAGTTGATGGTCTGATTCTTCTTCTTCTTCTTACGCTTCTTCTGCTTCATATTGTTAGCAAAAGTTCTTAAAGGCGCTTACATATTTATGTACTTGTACGTACTCTTGTTTCCAACTGCTTTTATATTTCACAAATTAGTATGTTTGGGTGTTTGCTGGTATTGTAATTGTTCTTCTTCTACTTTTGGGGCCAAACTACTTACTACTTACCACTATAAACCGTTAACAATGAAAGTAAATGGGAGTATGTACGATTCCCGCGCGCTCAAATTACGAGAATCGTACTCTCTCTTTGAGCCCATAACAAAGCAGTTAAAAGCCCTAAGAGTGGCGTACACATAACATAACACAAACATATGGACATGTGTAGTTAATATTATAGTAACAACAACAGCAACAAACAAACAATGGCCCACTGCCGCCCGTTGAGGCGAGTTAAATGCTCCTATTTATTGACTGCTGTTGCTGTTGTTGTTGTTGTTTTTGTTCACGTCGATGTGTACGCGACTTGTGTTGTGCTGGCGCTGTTTTGAGAATTTTCGTTAAGTTTAGTAGCTCGTAACGGTTCTTTGCGTATAGACGTGTTTTCTGATTTTTGAACGGAAAATGTGGTGAAAATATTCTGTTGTCTTCTTTTTTATTTTTGTAATTTTCGTATTGACTCAGTGACGGTTAGCGGCGTTGTAACGGCGCATGAATGAATGAGCGCTCCCGTAATTTGTTGGGGAGTGTGGGAGAGGTGGTTTTCGAGTGTGGTAAAGTTAGTTAAGCAAGTAGTGTAGAACATAAATACATACATACATATAAACGAATATACGGCGTCTTTTAGCCAACTTCAGCATTGTAATGTTTATTAAACGATGACTAAATGTAAAACAGCTGATAAGCGTTTATCATTTATTTAAAGAAAAAATGTTATATATAATAAAATATTCGGCTGATTATGACGAAATATTCATCAAGGTTAAAATGAAGTGATTTGGAGTGGGGAACGTATGAGCTATAAACTAAAATTATAAATTGGTGCTTGCAATAGTTGAAGTTCGCGTAATTAAAGTAATTTATAATAACAATCAATTTTTTTTCATAATAAAGGAAAATATTAATAGTGTTAAAAAAATAATAATAAAAATTATAATAATTTTTGTGGCGCTGCAAGTGGTGTGTGTGTGTAATTATGTTATTAAATAATAAATGAATAATTATTTTAGTGAAAAAATAATTAAATACTATGACCTTAAATAATTTTACTAAATAAAAAAAATTTTACAAATAAAAAAAATAATGAATAATTATTTTAGTGAAAAAATAATTAAATACTATGACCTTAAATAATTTTACTAAATAAAAAAAATTTTACAAATAAAAAAAATATTTGCAGCCATTTGTTTAATTAAAAAACAATTGAATTGCTCAATAATTATATATAAAATAAAATACACAAAAAAAAATTAAGAAACGAAAATAATTATTTTAGTTTAAAAAGTGATTTAGTAAATCAATCTTTTATCTAAAAAATCTTAAAATTTAAGTCGAAATAATAAAAAATTATAAATTTAAATTGCGAGTGAAACGTTTACCCAAAAAAAAATTTAATAATTCATTTAAAAGATTTGTTTTCTGTAAGCAAAAGTATATACATTTGTATATACATATGTATTTATATATTTTTTTTTTTAAATAAAACAAACGCCAAGAAATTAAATTATGAATAAAAATAGCTACGAAAACTAAAAAGTGAAATTAAATAATAAAAAAACCAAATTTTAAACTACAATAATAAAAGTCTCAAGCCATAAAAAATTAATTAAAGTTAAATATATTCTTTTCAATAAAAAAACAAGATAAATTCCAAAAATTTTCCTATATCCAAAAATACTAATGCCAATTAAAGTTTCAATATTTCAATTTTCAAACGAAAAACATAATTTACACGCTTAAACTTATATAAAAAATAATAATAATCAAATTAAATAGTATATATGAAATTAAAAAATAATGTTTTTTAACGGCTTAGTAAAACAATTAAAAATAGCAGAGGCTGAAGAAATTTATTAAATCCCAAATAACTTAATTTTTTTAATTAATTTAATTAATTTTTTTTTTTTTGCAAAATATAAAAGTAGCCGCTAATGATTTAAAATTGTTTTTCTTGCTAAATAAACAATAAAATTAGCCATAGAAATATTTTCGAAAGTGAAAAATATTTCAAATCGATAAGAAAGAAAGTCAAAAAACTCAAATTATTAATAAAAGTATTTTTCAAAACTTGAAAAAACGAAAATAAATCGTATACGCTGATTAGATTTTATTTTTTTAATTAATTTTTTTTTTTAAATAAAAGAGGAATTAAATTCAAATAAAATTATGTCGGAAAATTTGTTTGAGATAATAAATTATATTAATTAACTTACGGAATTAAAAATAAATAAATACAAATTCAAAAAATAATAAAATAAAAATTCAAAAAAAAAAAATAATTCGAGAAAAATTTACTAAAAAATAAATAATAAACTAATTAACTAATTAAAGTACAAGGACTCATTTATTTTTGTTTTAATAAACAAAGCAATAAAAATATAAACAAAATATTTTCGGCAACCAAAAAAAGGATATATAAAAAAAACATGTTTAAGGAATAAACTAAATTATAAAATAATTTAAACTACTAATGCCCGTTTACTAATAAAAATTTTATTTTATTTTATCTTATATTTTTTTATATAACAAAAAGAAAAAAATAATTATTTAGAAAAATAAATAAAATGTGATAAGTTAATTTAAAAAACAAAAGTTATAATATATAAAAATTAATTTAATCAAAAGAATATAGAATAAATTTGAATGACACAATCAAAAAACAATTTATTGATTTATTTATTTTTATTTTAATAATAAATACGGAAATGAGATCATTAACAAGAAAATATTTTCAAAGACTTAAAGTACAAAGGAAGTTATTAAATAATTTATAAATTTTATTCAGAAATTATAAAAATATTCCAAATGAAATGGTGTATAATTCGAAAATAATTTATATTACAAATGAACATTTTGCGAAAAATAAGCTAAGCAAATATTAAGCCAAATTAACATAAGAGAGTTAAAAAAAAATTATAGGAAAAACAAATCAAAATGTTTTCTCCGAGAAAAAAAAACATACTCAATTAAATATTCTCTTTTAATTTTTTCTTTCTGTCTCTTTTTTTTTTTTTTTTTTTTTTGAAAATAAAAAGTTAGATGAAAGTGTACATATCATATAAATATGTATGCGCATGCACTAAAAACGAATTTTAAAATTTATATATATATATTTTTTGGGCGCTTAAAAGAAATATAGAATTTCAAAAAAATTAATGTAATAAAATTATTTTTGTGTAATAAAATTTTTTAGTTTAGATTATATGCGAATTAGAAACCGGTCAACGCGCCATACACTGTGAAACCTAATTACAATTTTAATATGAAAGTAAAATTTAAAATAATTAAAACTCAAATGAAAATAAAAAATAATAATTTAATGGGTATTATCTGCTGCCAAGTGTATCATAAAACCCTAAAGAGAACAACTATTACCGAAATGAAGCAGCACATTTAAGTGTAAATACGCAAAAATTCCAATAAAACGACAGAAGCGTCAATAAAATTCCTATTTTATGTCATAAATAAATAAATCAACATACCGAAGTGCATTACAAATACAAGAAAAAACTCCCAAAATCATAGCAGAAAAAAATATCCGAACGCAAATAAACTCTAGAGAAAAGATTAAGAAGAACTCCAAAAATGTCTGCTGCCCAGTGCAGCAAACCCAAAGCGGCGCTTAAGCCAATACAAAGCGCCACAACGCAACACAATGCGCGTCCACCTGGAGACCTAAAAACAACACTGCCTTCTGCACTACAACTTCAACATGTCACCCTCATCACATTCTTCTCCATCATACTCTTAAGTGCAATGCCAGCGCTTAGCTCGGCACAATCGGCGCAAGGCAACACACTTGTTGGCAGTCGCGTTGCTAGTGCTAATGTTGTTGTTAGTGGTGGTGGTCGTGGTGGTGCTGGCGAAAGCAGCGAAATCGAATTCGCCAGTCTAGATGGCGCCGGCACACAATTACTCACACCCATACAGTTAGCGCCGAGCACTTTGGCGCCACCGCCAGCACGGCCATTAGAGGTCGTCGAAGTTGTGGAACCTGCGCCAGCGCAACCAGTGATGTCATCATCAAGTTATACCGAACTGCCGGGTGGTGAAATCACAGGCGAACGCACACTGCGTTACAGTGAGAGTCCTTTTGTGGCGCGTAAACACATTGAAGTAGCCAAAGGTGCACGTCTGATTATAGAGCCAGGTGTACGTGTGGAATTCGCGCCGACTGTGGGCATAACAGTGCGGGGTATACTGCATGCAGTGGTGAGTAGAATTACATATAGTAAGAATGAGCATTTCTTTAAGAATATTTCAGCTGATTTTAATTTTAGAAGACTTTTTATCAAATGAAACGTCTCGGGTAGCTCTACATAATTGAAGTATAGCGGTAACCCCTAGATTTGGCTCTGCAACTAAGATAAAACTAACAATGATTTGTATATAGAAATAGATAACTGAAAATGCTCTTTTGATGTAGAGATTAAGACCCCACAAGTTCGAAGGATCAAAAACTAACGAGTAACTCTGCTGTCTCTGAATTGTGTGTTTTGCAAAATTTGAAAATCCTTTACAAAAAACAAAAGTCTCAGCAATACTACTTTTGACTTTTAACTTTGAGAAACCCTACAATCATTGCAAAGCCGATCAGATCTGACTCGTTCCGATCCGATAGGCTCCTCTTATCTTTAGTAAGATTCCATATCCATAGTATGCATAACTGATTTTATTTTTTTCTTCAATGCATAGAGAATCTATTCCGTTGAAGTCTCTTTGAGTACTCTTTCTCACTGAGCGGGAATTCGCGCTCTCGCGGAAAAAAAATAACAGCAGGGAACGGAAGTTTTAACTTTGTGAAATCGTAATACTCAAAGAGCTGTCGTTGTGGCCAAAGAGTATGCCTTAGCAACACCGATTTGATCAGAACTGATCTTGTTCGATCCGATCTTCTTATACTCCTTAGCAATAGGTCTCGTAAGGCATAGACAACTAATTTAACTTCGTGAGTACTTTCAATTTTTGCAGTGGTCCGTTTACACCTCGCAGCCTACCTTTTTGTGTTAGTACCAAGAGGAAAGAAACTCCCGCTCTCACAAACACCCTAATTTCTGTCTAAGTCAATACTAATACAACTACTGAGCCCAGTCAAGATCGAATAACTCTTTAACAAACAGCTGTTCTTTAAGAGCTCCTGTCCACAACAGTCCGCGCACTGTCGTCTGGGCTCTCACGCCACCACTGAGAGTCATAACTTCGAGCTTGTAGATAATTTGGTCTTTCTAGGGACCAGCTGTAATACCTACAATAATATCATCTTTGAAATGCTACCTAGAATCACTCTTGCCAACAGGTGTTACTTTGGACTGAGTAGGTAAATGAGAAGTTAAGTATACTCTCGACGAACAAAAACCAGAATCTACTAGTCCCTCATTAATTCGGTTCAGTAATATGATATAGAAGCGTGGACAATGTCGATAACCGATAAGTAGGCCTTGGGAGTCTTGAAGAGAAAAGTTTTTCGAGCAATTAATGGTCCTTTGAGCGTTGGCAAACGCATACGATGGAACGGTTAGCTGTAAGATGAAGGCATTTCAGCTGTGAAAATTTTCGATGCGGCACCCGCTGATGGAAACAGAGTATAAGAAAGTTGTCCACTCCGTTGGAAAGATCAGGTGGAAAGTGGCTTTGTTTCACATGGTATTTCCAACTGGCCCCAAACAGCAAAGAAAAGAACGACTCGCGCACTATTGGTGAGTCGACTATATATAATATAAGCGGTGCCTACACCAATAAGAAATGGGGTGAAGAAGACCCAACATCGCTAGAAAGCCTCCGCTAAGCCAACATCTCGAAGTTTTTGTATAAACATTTCGTAGAACTCGGAAAGTCAACTATCCAGAGGAGGATTAAAAATTTACTGACGGAATATTTTCATTTTCCACACTCCTCAGACACAAATGTAACAGAAAAAAGAAAAAAATTTAAATTATCGCTATCAGAGATCTTGGTTGACCTACAGGGAGCAGTTTCTCATGTCAAAAATATCCTCGGAGGTGTTGTCCTTCCCAATCTAGGGCCGATCGCTGGTAATAAATCCTTTTCGAAAGGAAAGACCCTGTGATGGAATAAATTGAAGAGGTTTTCTTGAGGAAAGAAAATCCTTTGCTCTCACTACTACCACAACAATTTCCTTAATTGCAAAATTCGTGAGTTTTCCACCATTTCACCTGTTGCCATACCAAATTTTTTCCATATAAACTAAGCCGTTCAAATACAAATCCGATTATTCATACAAATAAGTAATCCCACCGCCAACAATGATATTGATTCATACAAATTAAACAAACACATGAACAGGTTGAAATACAAATAAAGTGTAAAGTCCAACGCCACACAATACAAATGCAGACATGTGTTTTCAAAATCAAAAAAAAAAAAAAAAAAAACTGCCAATAACTGGCAAATATTTGATTGAATAATCACAAAAGCGAGCAGACACTATCGCAGCAAGCTTATCGTGGCGAGCGATAAGATATATAAATATATCGCAATGGGGGAAATATGCGCACATCACCTAGGGTTGTGGCATAATTTATTAACTGCTGTGAGGTGTTATGACTTAGATATTATTATTAGATATTGGTGGTTCCAGGCTGCATCTTGGTGGGCTATTAAAGTTCTGGTGGAACATTGAGATCTTGGAGCTTCTAAGCAGAAATTCAATTCCGAGAAGTCAGAACTCCAACCGAGGCTCCATTAAAGCATATTTGAAACCAATAATTCTGACTCATCCCTCGAAATTTATTTTTGTTTAGTATACTATACTCCAAACAATACTTGAAGCCTTAAAGTTTCTCAAGTTTGAAGAGCATGATTTTTAAGTTATTCACGTCATCAGTATGTATGGTATGAGAAGCGAAGAGGCGAGTATTATGTTGTCCTTTGCCGCTTACTAACTTCATATAAAACTAGTTCGAACGCACGTTCAAGCCGACCGATAAAAATTGATTATAAATCTTATTTCTCTAATAGCGATCGCTCCTCGGCAGGGAATGTCTCCGCCCCTTTTTGAAATTTTGACACAAAATAGAGAACTCCTAATAAAAATCCAACAGACGTTTGGAGCCAAAACAGCATAAATTGTAGGTCACTCCATTTGTTAAAAACAACCTCAAGACGCAAAAATCGAAAGAGGAGCATAGCAGAAAACCGTTACGCGATTAAAAAGCACTAGTTATCTTCTATTGGGTTGTACCAAAAAGAACCGGCGTTGAGAATTTTTTTGAACAGCGCCGCACTGTCATCACACTTCTCAGACTTAACCTCAAATAAATCGTATACTCGAGAAGCTTAACCTGAGTTGTTTACGAAGCCTAATTTTCTTCTGTTAATACTTAAAACACAAAACCGGAAAACGTTGAGCGCGATAGTGATTTCTTTGAAGTAAAGTGTGATTTTTTAGCTATTATCTCTTTGGCAAGACTGGTTTAAACAGCTAACGCACGTTTCGTGTTTTGTATTACTGCCAAACATCTTCAGTTTGGTCTATAATTTAACCTTGAATCGTTCTACAAACGAACAACGCTTGCAAGTTATTGAATTTTATTATGAAAATGCGTGCTCTGTTAAGAAAGCTCATCGCGCGCTTTTTCCCCGAGCGTTCTGAAGCTCATTTTTGGCTTAATGTGAACAAAAATAAGCAGAATTGTCGATTTTTTACTGAAGATCAGCCAGAAGCATTGCAAGAGCTGCCAATGCATTCAGAACAGAGTCACAGTTTGGTGCGGTTAAAGGGCTGGTGGCATCATTGAACTGTAGTTCTTCAAAGATGATGTGAATCGTAACGTAACTGTGAATGTTGAGCGCTACTGGGAGATGTTATAAAACTTCTTTTTGCCCAAAATGCAAGACCTTGACTTGCCTGACATGTGGTTTTAACAAGACGGTACCACATGCCACACAGCATGCGTAACAGTGGACTTATTGAGAAGCGAATTCGGTGAACTTTTCACGTTCGGGACCAGTCAATTGGCCGCCTAGATCGTACGATTTAACGCCTTTAGACTATTTTTTGTGGGGCTATGTTAAATTTACCGTCTCTACGGACTAGCCCGCTTCAATTGACGCATTGGAGAACAACATTGAAGTATAAGCGGATGGACCATTTGAGGTGCAGTCACGTTCAGCCTTTGTATGAAAAAATCTTCAAACATTAAGTTAAATGGACCATACAATCGATACAAATAAAGATTCCATACACTTTTCTGAATTTTATGTGTTTCTTTTTTTGTAAAACTTTTCTATAGCTCTTAAAAAATCGCTCTTTAGTATTGAACGTATCCCGAGATAGTCTGAATCTAGCTTGAAAATGGTAACAAAATAGTTCACTACTGATTGAAACCTTCTCAAATGGTTACGATAGGAACTTCATCTGATTCAGTGATGCAGCCATGAGATGATATTATATTAAACTGTTTTGAAAATTCTCGCTAACCAAATGTTTCTAAAAACCTGCCGACTTCTGCTTGGAATCGCCATTAATTAATTTTAAACTTTTATCCCTTGAATGTTGTTCCGAAGATGCTCCACAATATTTCCCAAAAATAACTTCAACGTATGCGAAACCCCAAGTGAGCGTACATTAGTTCGAGGATAACGCCAAAATCCAGATTCTTACACAAACGTGTTTTCCTCTATTAAGGCAGATGTAGACTCACACACTGATTCCTAAATGATCCTGAAATAATATTGAAGAACTCTTGAAATGATTATTAAACAAAATTGGATCTTTTGCGCAAGGGAATTCTAAGTTAATTGCTCCAAATAGTTTCAAAAACCAACTTCGACTAATTCGAAAATAATATTAAACTGAACAGAAAGTGAAAAGAATACTAACTCCCATTACTATATGGTTCCTAATTACTCATAAAAGAGCTACGAAATATTTTTCATCTAATTCTAATTCTGTAAAAGTTCTCAACTAAAACGTGAGTATTAATCAAATTTTGAAATACCCTCGAACTAATATTGAAATGGCATCAAAAAACTTTGATGGTCCTGAATTTTTATCGAAGTATACCTAAATAGTCATAAAGTGTCCTAGATTGCGACTCTAAAGTAGGCTTAAGCTATTGCTATGTCACTGTGATCACGAACTTAATCTACTTTCTAATCAACTTACTCGAAAATATTCTCGAATTTAACCATAGGTAATCATATACAATACTAGTTCGAAGCTGATAACAGGGCAGTATAGTTCTATACCG